GCCGAGGGCGGCCATGGAGCTGTGGCGACAGTGCACCCACTGGCTCATCCAGTGCCGGGTGCTGCCGCCCAGCCACCGCGTGACCTGGGAGGGCGCCCAGGTCTGCGAGCTGGCGCAGGCCCTCCGGGATGGCGTCCTCCTGTGTCAGCTGCTCAACAACCTCCTGCCCCATGCCATCAACCTGCGCGAGGTCAACCTGCGTCCGCAGATGTCCCAGGTGAGACGCCTGCCGCGCGGGCTGCGTGTGGGGGTCACGGGTGCTGGCAGAGGGAAGGACTGAGGCGCTGTACTTGGACATGGGCAGCGGTGAGGCCAGGAGGGGGTGGATGTGCACTGGGCCCCGGACTGGAGCTGGCCCAGGGCGTGGTTCACTGTGGGGTTCACGGGTGCCCCCCCTCACCCCATTAAAGGTCTCTTGGATGGGCTCCGAGTTGGCCTTGGTCTAGGTTGGGAGCAGGCAGACTCGGGGCTAACCCTCCTCACTCCCTAGCTGACTGCGGGACAATCTTGGAAGTTCTGGGGGGCTTTTGCCTACTGTGACCCCAGATTCTGGCTGTGGGGGAAGAGCCTCTGCTCTCTTTCTTACATGGCCTCCTTCTCCTCCTCCTCCTCCTCCTCCTCCTCCTCCGGCCCCGGGCCCCTTCCTTCCCCTTGGCTTCCTGCCTGGCCCTGGGGCTGTGTGGTGCTCTTGGGGGGCTTCGGCTCTGGGCCACTGGGCTCCTGCTCTGCACCCACCCCAGAGGGGACACGGAGGCAGGGCCTGGTCCTCAGCTCCCAGAGCAGGGCCTGGGGTCTGGGAGCTTAGAAGGACCACGTTTGGATGGGGTGGCTGGTAGAGCTGGGCGCAGCCTCCCCAGCCGGCTCAGGAAACATATTCAAATCTCCATTTGAATACTGTTGGGTGGGGGTGGGAATGTGGGGAACCGGCTCGAAGGCACCTTCTTGGCTTCCCTGGGCTGCTGGGAGGGTGGGCACTGGGCAGGGGGTGCCCACCTGCCCTGGGGTGTGAGGAGCTGCAGCTGGATCTCAGAGGCCTGAGGACATGGCCCTGGTCTCTGAGAACATAGGGCTTTATCCTGGGGGTCTGGAGACGTCTCCTTTTCCTGGGGCTTTGGAACTGAGCCCTGGCTTGGAGTCTGAGAACATGGTCTTGTGCTAGGTCTGGGGACACAGCCCTGCCTCAGGAACTAGGGGAGCGGGGCCTGTCCTGAGGTCTGGGCTATAGCATTCTCCTGGAGTCTGGGGACACAGCCCTGCCTCAGGGTCCAGGGGACAGGTGCCTTTCGGCCCTCAGGCCCCCCTTCCAGGATGAAGGCCCCCAGGAGCTGCAGCTGGGTCTCTCTAGGGACAGCAGGCAGTGACAGGCAGGGGCACGGCCTCCTCTTTGGCCTAAGGGCCACGTGCGGTGGGACAAGGGGAAGTAACTTCTCAGACAGAGGCCACTGGGTCTCTGAGGGTGGTTCCCAGGGCAGAGCTGATGGTGGAGGCTCTGTGCTCCTTCTCCGTCCTGAGTGCCAGGGAACTGCCCCTCTCTGGCCCCGCAGGGCTCCTGAGAGGAAGAGGGGGCCCCAGGCTCTCTCCAGCCCTCGAATTTGCCTTCGTTTGCCTGACTTCCTTCGGGCTTCCAGGGCATGAGGAAGTAGCCGTAGCAGCTGATGGGCCCCGGCCCCCCGCAGGGAGCCAAGGTGCCCTTTGATGCTCTAACAGCAGCTGGCAGGAAAGCAGGTACCTGGAGGTGCCTGGGTCTCTGTGTGCACCTTGGTCAAAGTCGCTTTCCTGAAGGGCAGCGAGCATTGTGCTTCATCTGTGCACGCCAGCCGTGGGCTTCATCCTCTGCACAGGCCCTGCTGGGTCTGGCCCTCCAAGTGCTCTCGAACTCCAAGACACAGAAAAAGTTGCTTCAGTCCTCTCTGATCTGGGCTGTGGCCCCTGGGGTGGGGGCAGGACATTATCTCCTGGGGTCAGTCTTTATGGATGAGAGGACCTTTGAGCTGGGTTGTGAGGCATGCATAGGAGTTTTCTCATTGTTTGGCTTCCCATGCCCAGCATACCAGCATACCAGGCGGGGCATGGGTATATCCTGACCCTCCCTGTCCGGGAGCTCTGGTCCTTCCTGAGCCTGCTCATTTTGTCTCTCTTTGAAGCTCCACCTTTTGCCCGGTACATAGGAGCAAGGTGTCTGGGAAGCTAAGAGGTACTCATGATAAACGGGAGAAAGAGGCCACAGGATGTCTGCGTGCCTGTTGGTCAACAGGTGTAACCCAGAGCTGTGCAGGACAGAAAGAAAAAGAAGGGTGCCTCTGTCGGGGGAATAGCATAAACGAGGTGTGCAAGTTGAAACTGGGACACTTTCCTGTTTCTCTCATTTCTTCTTCATCTTTTGCATAGTTGTTTCCAGAGATGATGGGAAGAAATAACATATCCATCCATCACCCACCCATCCATCCGTTCATCCGTCCACCTGTGCACCTGTCCATCCATCCATCCGTCCATCCACCCATCCATCCACCCACCCATCCATCCATCCGTCTACCCATCCACCCATCCACCCAGCCACCCAGCCACCCACCCATCCACCCATCCATCCGTCCATCCGTCCACCCGTCCACCTGTCCATCCGTCCACCCATCCACCTGTCCACCCATCCATCTGTCCATCCATCCACCCACCCATCCACCCAGCCACCCACCCATCCACCCGTCCGCCCACCCAACAACGATCCCACATTCTGGGCCCAGTTTTTGGTGCAGGGATCAGTGGGAATCACGTACACACCAGACCCTGTCGCTGAGGAGCGTTTTTTTCTACCCAAGGAACTCCACGGTGAGCAAATAAGGACGTGTATAAGTGTTCTGCAGGTGGAGGGTGTTCTGCAGAAAATAAAGCAGGAAAAGAGGCTGACAAGTGTGGGAGTGGCATCTGTGAATAGGGAGCCCAGGACGCTTCCCTGATCAGGTGCCTTTGGAGCAGGAGCCTGGATAAAGAGGAGGAACGAGCCAGGTGGATCTGGGGAGCTGGGTCCCAGGCAGGTGGATCTGGCACAAGGGCCCGGAGGCGGGAGTGGGCCACTGTCTGTGTGCTCAGAGCAGCGGCTGACCTGGCCAGTGAGGACAGCGGGGTAGGTCAGATGATATCACAAATCCCCCACATTCCTCTCTTGGAGCGTGAGACCCTCCAGAGAGGGGTGGGACGGGACTTGAAGGCCCAGGGTGTGGGGAGGAAGCAAGGGATTATGGGAAGGAGGGTGTGGGGCTCATCACAGGCGGGGTGGAGGCAGGCCCTGGAGCCTAGCAGCTGCTGGGGTCCCTGGCCTTCTGCCCGCTGTGACGGTGCTCATCTGTAGGTCTAGCTACATGAGGGACGGAGGTGGGTGGGTTACTTGAGCCCAAGGAGTTCAAGGCCAGTCTGGGTAACAGAGATCTTATCTCAAAAAAAAAAAAAAAATCTGCGTAGCTCAGTGGTGAGCACCTGCCCAGCATGCGTGAGGCCCTGCGTTCCGTCCTTACCACACTGCCCTCCAGAGTGTTCCTCGGTGAAGGCAGAGGGCTGGGTGGGACGCTCAGAATGAGACCTTGGTGGGCCGGGGGCGCTTCAGGGTGGAGGCTTGGAGGATCCAGACCTCCAGGTTCAAATCCCAGCACCACCACCTCCTGGCTTTCTTCCGTGGAGCCTCAGTTTCCCCGTCCGTGACAAGTGGGTACAAACAGGGCAAGGCTGTGATATTTCAGTACTGCTTAGCGCAGCACCTGGCACCTGCTGGAGGCTGGCTGAAGGCTTGGGGCTTTAGGGAGGCCGTGGTGTGGTGAGAAGGTGTTCAGCGCACGCCGTGGGTGGCCGTGTGACCTGGGGCGCTTGTTCTCAACGGGAGGGTTGCGTTTCCCGCTCCCCACAATTCTGTCAAAGTTTGGAGACTTTGTTCCCAGCTCCTCAAATTCTTTTTATTTGCATTTTCTAGTTGATGGTTCTGATCCTTAATTATGGGGTACAGGTATAATCCCATACACGTATGCAATATGCAATGGTCGGGTTGGGGATAAGTAGCATTTCCATTTTCCGGCCATGACCGTGTTAGTGACTTTTCTCTTGTCGCTGAGACAAGATACCTGACGCCCAAAGTTAAAGGAGGAAAGGTTTATGTGGCTCCAAGTTTGCAGAGGTTTCAGTCCATAGTCTGCTGGCTCCAGGGCAGGGTGGTGCGGCAGAGGAGCGACTGGGCAGCAGGTGGTAAAGGGTTGGACCACAGCTCTTTCCGTCCCTCACATCTTATCGAGGCTACTCAGGGCGGTAGCAACCAAACCCTTAATCTGAGCGCGCTTAGCATTGAATCAGCCCCAGGTCACACACTAGATTCAGCCACCTCTGAAAAAGCCCCGCCTGTGACTGCACAAGGCTTTGGGGGGACAGCTAGACACAGACAGAACAGTGACTTTGCCTTTGGAGCCTTCGAACTCCACTCTTCCAAAACATAAAACAGGACTTTATATACACGAAAGTCCTCCACTGTGCTGCAGGCCCCAGGACTTAATCCTCCTCCTGCCCTTTTTTCCCCATGGTACTGGGGAGTGAGCCCAGGCAGGGCCTATGCACTGAGCATCCTCAGCCTCTTTTATTTTACTTTAATTTTTATATTCAGACAGGATCCCGCTATGCTGCTAAGGTGCCCATGCTGGGCTGAGATCCTCCTGCCTCAGCCTCCCAGAGTGCTAGGATGACAGGTGTGCACCGCTATGCCTGGCTGAGATCAATTCTTTCCGTTCCCACAAATGAATGTGAGTGTGTGGGATTTCTTGGAGACATTTTGGGTTTTTACAACTCAGAAAGTCTCCGGGCGCGGACTGGACAAAGCCAGGGATGAGGAGGGCTCCTTGAAGAGAGTGTGACCCAGCCCCAACGGCCAGCACCGCCAGCTGCCTTTTCTGTGGTTTCAGTTACGTTCAGTCTGCGGCAGTCCAAATATATTAAATGGAAAACTCCAGAAAATAGTCAATAGCAGTTTTATTTTTATTTTTTGGTACCAGGGATCGAACTCGGGTCCTTGCGCTTGCAAAGCAGGCGGCGGAACCACTGAGCTAAATCCCCGGCCCAATAACAGTTTTAAATAGCCTTAGGACAGTCTGTCACTGTGATTATTCTATTTTAACATCAAACACTGACATCTCTTGCTGTGCCTAACTTAATGGTAGGGATGTATATATAGGAAAGTGTATGTAAGGTTTG